GCATGCTGTTACGTATGGAAAGCAGCGGTCAGGGCGACCTCGTAACAACCAAAACATACTTCGATGAAGAAGTGCTGGACGACTCGTATGAGGGCTGGGCTGTAGTGAGAGGCACCTTTAGTGGCACAGCAGTGGAGTTCCTCGCTGCTTCCTCTACAGGATACAATAATTCTTTTGGCAAGGTAAGTCATCAGCCTCTTGCCAGCTTTGATAACCATTGGTAGGTCTCGAGTCCTGTGTCGTCAACCACTGGTAGGTCTCGTGTCTTGTGTCGTTAACCACTGGTAGGTCTCGTGTCTTGTGTCGTCAACCACTGGTAGGTCTCGTGTCTTGTGTCGTCAACCGCTGGTAGGTCTCGTGTCTTGTGTCGTCAACCACTGGTAGGTTTCGTGTCTTGTGTCGTCAATCACTGGTAGGTCTCGAGTCCTGTGTCGTCAACCACTGGTAGGTCTCGTGTCTTGTGTCGTCAACCACTGGTAGGTCTCGTGTCTTGTGTCGTCAACCACTGGTAGGTTTCGTGTCTTGTGTCGTCAATCACTGGTAGGTCTCGAGTCCTGTGTCGTCAACCACTGGTAGGTCTCGTGTCTTGTGTCGTCAACCACTGGTAGGTCTCGTGTCTTGTGTCGTCAACCACTGGTAGGTCTCGTGTCTTGTGTCGTCAACCACTGGTAGGTCTCGTGTCTTGTGTCGTCAACCACTGGTAGGTCTCGTGTCTTGTGTCGTCAACCATTGGTAGGTCTCGTGTCTTGTCGTCAACCTCTGGTAAGTCTCGTGTCTTGTGTCGTCAACCACTGGTAAGTCTCGTGTCTTGTGTCGTCAACCACTGGTAAGTCTCGTGTCTTGTGTCGTCAACCACTGGTAGTTCTCGTGTCTTGTGTCGTCAACCACTGGTAGGTCTCGTGTCTTGTGTCGTCAACCACTGGTAGGTCTCGTGTCTTGTGTCGTCAACCACTGGTAGGTCTCGTGTCTTGTGTCTTCAACCTCTGGTAAGTCTCGTGTCTTGTGTCGTCAATCACTGGTAAGTCTCGTGTCTTGTGTCGTCAACCACTGGTAGGTCTCGTGTCTTGTGTCTTCAACCTCTGGTAAGTCTCGTGTCTTGTGTCGTCAATCACTGGTAAGTCTCGTGTCTTGTGTCGTCAACCACTGGTAGGTCTCGTGTCTTGTGTCTTCAACCTCTGGTAAGTCTCGTGTCTTGTGTCGTCAATCACTGGTAAGTCTCGTGTCTTGTGTCGTCAACCACTGGTAGGTCTCGTGTCTTGTGTCGTCAACCACTGGTAGGTCTCGTGTCTTGTGGCGTCAACCACTGGTAGGTCTCGTGTCTTGTGTCGTCAACATCTGGTAAGTCTCGTGTCTTGTGTCGTCAACCACTGGTAGGTCTCGTGTCTTGTGTCGTCAACATCTGGTAAGTCTCGTGTCTTGTGTCGTCAATCACTGGTAAGTCTCGTGTCTTGTGTCGTCAACCACTGGTAAGTCTCGTGTCTTGTGTCGTCAACCACTGGTAGGTCTCGTGTCTTGTGTCGTCAACCACTGGTAAGTCTCGTGTCTTGTGTCGTCAATCACTGGTAAGTCTCGTGTCTTGTGTCGTCAACCACTGGTAGGTCTCGTGTCTTGTGTCGTCAACCACTGGTAAGTCTCGTGTCTTGTGTCGTCACCCACTGGTAAGTCTCGTGTCTTGTGTCGTCAACCACTGGTAAGTCTCGTGTCTTGTGTCGTCAACCACTGGTAAGTCTCGTGTCTTGTGTCGTCAACCACTGGTAAGTCTCGTGTCTTGTGTCGTCAACCACTGGTAGGTCTCGTGTCTTGTGTCGTCACCCACTGGTAAGTCTCGTGTCTTGTGTCGTCAACCACTGGTAGGTCTCGTGTCTTGTGTCGTCAACCACTGGTAAGTCTCGTGTCTTGTGTCGTGAACCTCTTGATCTGTTAGGCTAAAGGACAAATGAGCTACTAATGATCACGTTTCACTCTTCAGGGACTTTATCAAGCAAACACAGAGGGTATATAAAGGAAACGTGAGGAAGTGCAGGAAGAGCACAAGCACTTCAGTAGGCCAATTGGCCTTTTCTTGTAGAAGCAGAAGGAGTACTACTACAACAACTAGTTGGGATATTACTAGTAGATGTGATGTTTAGTTATGTCAAAGTGGGTTTTATCATTTTAAGGAGAATTCGTGGACTGCCGAGAAAGAAATGTGTTCGATTTTTTATTATTATTTCCTTTTGGTCTTCTCTCATAAAGACACAAACGATATCTAAGTAATTAGTTATTGTAGGGACCTGGGAAAAATTATGCAATGTCTGAAATGGACATTAATGATGATTTCCGGCATTTTCATCTTCGAATGGTTTGTTTTTTAGTCACTAAGTGGAGTTCAGTTCATCTTATCAAATGACTGGTGATGGTCCAGTGACGTACACATGCATTACATATATAGATGTGTGTGGTGTTCAGACGTGTTTCGAGCTGTTTACCCAACGTATTCTTTGTCACAGTCTCCATATGGGATTATATGTGCCTCTGCACTGACTGATTCAAGGTTCACCACCTTGGTCCTGGTGAGGTCTTTGACGGATGTGTTGGTTGCTAAGGCGACTTTAGCATTACCTCGTGTGATTACTTTGGAGACGTTGAGAGCAACTTGATTTAGTGTTGGGAAGGGTTACAACCTTTTTCAAAATGATAGTGCGTGGAGAATTTATAATGTGAATTGATTATTTCTTGCAGACTTTGAAGAAAAAGGATGGAAAATACGCTTCTCAGTTTAGGTTTGATGTCAGTAGAGAATTCATTGTCAGGAAACTTGGGCTGCAAATGCGATATGCTCTTCCAAAAAAGCTGATGATACCTTGTTTAGTCTCAGTATTTTGATCAGAAGTGTGTAAGGCCATTTAAATTTCAAGCCTCACTGTAGACTTGTACTTTTGCAGCATTAAGTAGTTTATGGATATGTCGGAGAATCCTAACCTGTTATCGAAGTTAACAAATTTGAACTGGCAATTCAGGTATGAACTGAATTGCCAGTTCAAATTTGTTAACTTCGTTATCCCTCCTTTGTACCTATCAAATGCTTTGAGAATGATCACGAGGACGTCGTCCAAGTATCGCACCCACGCGATGTTTCTGGGCATGATGTTGGCCCAGTTTCAAGGTGCTCCATGTGTAAGTTAGCGATGATGGCGCTGATGGAGAAGCACCTTCCCGTCACACACGTTTGTCTATAGAATCTGTTGTCGATGGAGAAATGGTTATTGTGTATGCAGAGTTTAATCAATCTGACGAAATCCCCGAGAAGCAGAGGAAGATGAAGGTCTTGGTTGACTTAGTATCAGAGGGAGCCAATGGATTGCTTTGTGGGTCCCTCTGTATGAAAAAGTAAGTAACATTATGACTACTTAATTTCTTGTTTCGTCGATCTAACTGAACTCTGCACAAGCATTAACTTGGCTGGCACCAACAGTTCGGTCAATCAGGCCAGCAACAGGGAGGCCTGGTCTGAGACCAGGCCACAGGAGCAAAGATCTCTTGAATCGTTTACCGGAAGTTTCCAATCCTCCAAGAGTGACTTGGTTTCCAAGAGAGAGAGAGAGAGAGAGAGAGAGAGAGAGAGAGAGAGAGAGAGAGAGAGAGAGAGAGAGAGAGAGAGAGAGAGAGAGAGAGAGAGAGAGAGGCAGGTTCCAAAAGTGGCGTGATCTTCAAGGTGACCTGACCTGACCTCCAAGACTTACCTGACCTCCAAGATTTACCTGACCTCCAAGAGTGACTCTTAACATTTTTATATGATTAAATTTACCTGTTTTTATAGCTAGATATTTTGGAAGGAGTGTCAGTTTATTATTAATATATCACTTTGCGGTGATGTTATTGCTGACTGAATTTTCTGGTGTAGAAGTTGTGGCCAACCTCACAGAGGATTTTGTTTCTGTTCACAGGTTTAAATCACATTGAAATTTTAATTATTTAAAGTTTTGTTATCATTAGGCTCTATATTAGTGTATAAACTACTAGGGTAATTGACATAAACAATTGTGGCACCAGGTGAGCTTCTACGATGCCCTGGTGCTGAAGGAGGCATCGACGAGCTTGTACGGGCAGGAGATGGGTGCCCAGTTCGGCTACTGTCTGGGGTCAGCAGATGTGGACGGTGATGGTGTTGATGACCTCCTGGTGGGGGCGCCTCTAGCCAGGGCAGGAGACAAACTCCTTCCTGACGCTGGCAAGATCTACCTCTATTACTCTCCCTTAGTTCAAGTGAGTTACATGCTTTCGCTGTTGTGGGGATGTTTGTGACCTGATGTGGGTCCCAACCATCGTAGTGATGCAGGTGTGAGTGGTGTGATGTGTGGTGGTGGTTGTAATAGTAGTGGTAGTTGGATTGTTGGTGGTTGTTGTGCGGATAGTGATGAAGGGTGGTAGTTATGGTTATTGTTGCGGAGTATGTGTTGGTAGTTGTGGTGTTTCACTGAATTAATGATAATTCATAGTCACTCCTCCCTACATCAGCTTTCAGTGCTTCGTCCTTGCACTGGGATCGAAATATTAATTATTATATATTTTTAATAACTGATTCTCAGAATCGGAATTACGTGATAGTGAATGGCTTCATTCACTATCTACATAATGGATAGTATCATCCAGTGACTGGCATCAGTGGATAGCTTCATGCAGTGACTGGTACTACAAAGTGGATAAGTTCAACATATCAGATAAAACCCGACCTTTTCTGAAGCTATCTATGGCAGCATCAAATGATAGAAAATAGATCCAGTTGTTGCGAAAGTATTGTTGCAACTGTTCTGCTAATACAAACACAAGTGTAGTCTTGTGGCCTGCACATCTGGTTGTAGCAAAATACAGCGGTGGGTAAATACTTATATATATTTCCTTCACCAAAGAGCAAACAATTACACGTACACTATTTACAGTGGATATGTACGGAAAGGCAATTTGTAAGAAAGAGACATGGTAAGAATTGTCTTCCACCGGACTTATAGGTAAGTCTGCCAACGTTGTTTCACGAGGGTCCTGCATTGCTGGCTTCCTTGTGATTGGCTATGCTGAACCAAGGTGCTCAACCCAAAGGGACCTCCAAGTCAGACACAACCTTAGAGTAAAACAACAGACAGTAGGGCTAGCGTAGGTGACCCGTAACTAAACAAAAAAAAAATATGGCTAGGTTTACTTAAATTTTACTTTACACCTATAAAAAGCAGCTTATTACCCTAAAACATCCCAACAAATTACAACCTGAAAAGGGTGTCTTTCAGAACTTTTTCTTTGCTGGCAATATGCGTATTGTGATATAATGCTGCAGCTGTAATGCCCAATGGATGAGACTAATGCTCTTGTTCTTCATGGAGCTGAGGTAGGTCAGAGGATTGTGGTCACTGGACACGGTAACTGCATGAGGTGTGCGGGATTAAAACACGTAGGAAGGTTTCAGTGCAAGTACCAAGGCCAGGGCTTCCTTTTCAGTTGTGGAATCGGCCTGCTGATAGGCCTTGTATTTGGTTGAATAATATGCCACAGGCTGCAGACATCCCTCACCAGATGCTTGGAGTAACACTGCCCCCACTTCAGATTCGCATGCATTAAACTGTAAGACTGGACTGTGGGGACAACAGTATGGGAAAAGTACATAAGACAGTTTAACAGGGTTAAAAGCCTCTTGATAACTAGAGGTCCAGCAAAAATTAGTTTCAGGACTGGTGAGAGAGGTTAGGGGAGCTACCACATGTGCAAAATTCCTGTAGAACTTACGATAAAATCCTGTAATTCCTAAGAATCTTTTAAGAGACTTCTTATTCTGAAGAATAGGATAATTTTTAATGGTTAAAATTTTGGCAAATTTAGGTGCTACTTTGCCACTACCTACTTCATGACCCAAGAAAGTTACAGTAGATTGTACTAAACCTCTCGAAGAAGTGTTTAAGATAGGACACATGTTGATCCCCTGTATCAGAAACTGCAACTATATCATCCAGGTAAGACGTTGTGCTGTCAAGTCCTTTGATAGCCTGGTGGATGAAGTTTTGAAATGAGGTAGGCAACTTCCTCATTCCAAATGGGGTCACATAATATTGGTAGTGATCTTGAATTGTGAAGGCAGAAATCTCCTTAGCTTTATCTGTTAAAAGGAATTGGAATAGAATTCTTCCTCTGTAAGCCATGGGTGTTGTAAGAGACGAATAAGATGCCAGGAGCAAGGGGCTAGTAACTCCTTCTCCTGTATATATTACTAAATGTAAAAGGAGAAACTTGTTTTTTCTTTTGGGCCACCCTGCTTTGGTGAGTTACGGCCAGTTTGTTGAAAAAAAAAATGTACAGAAAGGCAATTTGCAAGCAAGAGTCATGGTAAGAACCGTCGTTGACCAGACTTAAAGGTAAGTCTGCCAGTGTTGCTTCACGAGGGTCCAACATCGCTTCACAATTATGGCGGGCTTCCTTGTAATTGGCTGGTTTTACCCAAGCATAATGAAGGGGTTATGCTCATTATACTCTTAGCATCTGGTTGGCTGGTCGTGAGGGCATGTCTATAAGGGTGTGTGACATATGCTGAATAAAATATAACATACTCTTAGTAGGCTACATCTACCAAAGACTAATATGAGTACACAAACACAGGTAAACGAAAACCTGCTGTGCCTGGTTGTAAATCAAGTCTCCAGACAAGGGACAGTCCTCATACAAACAAAGGCAAAGGCAAACACAAAAGGTAGTTTTATATATTCTCTACACCAATATTTACAGGAAAAAAAAGATGTTATTGTGAGAGAGAGAGCAAAGTGAGTACACTCACTGCAATTGATTTTTCACCTCATACAAAATACGCTAATATGTATGTATGCAACCAGCCTCAATCTGAGACTGACTTCAGCCAAATATGGAAATATAACATCAGTTCGGCTACGGGCAAGCTCTCACCCATTTGGCCGATGTGCAAACCTGATAGCAAAACAGAATAGCTGAGGCCCCTCTGCAGCTACTTTGACCTATCTGCCAGTCTGGCAGTACTCGGCACACGCCACATCTGCTGATGCTGTTCCTGGCTGGTTTTTCCATTTTTTTGAATATAGGTCTCATTAGCTTTTTCCCATAAAGAGGAAATTTTTCTTGTGCTAGTAAGAGGTAATTGAAATGATTGAAAACACATTGAGATAGATAACAACTCTAGATAGGAGACTGGGCGTCATCCTGTCCATCTTATGTTCACAGATTTAAGGAGAAAGTGGATTTCTTCTGTCTTTCTTTTTCTCTCACTTCTCCTTTCCTTTTCTATACCTCCTATCATATATTTCCCTCCTCTCTCACCGGCTCTCCTCCTCCAGGATGCAGACAAGCTCCCTCCATCACAGGTGTCTGGGACTGATGCTTGGGGACGCTTCGGTGCTGCAGTCACCTCTCTCGGCGATGTTGACCGTGATGGATATGATGGTGAGTGTTTTAAACACACACATACACACACACACACACACACACACACACACCACACACACACACACACACACACACACACACACACACACACACATATACACCACACACACACACACACACATACACACACACACACACACACACACATACACACACACACACACACACACATACACACACACAGACAGACATGGGCCCTGAGAGAGGGAGCAGAGGCGCTATGTGTACCCCTAACAATATTCAATACATCTATCGAAACAGGGAGATTGCCTGAGGCATGGAAGACAGCAAATGTGGTACCAATCTTTAAAAAAGGAGACAGACATGAAGCACTAAACTACAGACCAGTGTCACTGACATGTATAGTATGCAAAGTCATGGAGAAGATTATCAAGAGAAGAGTGGTGGAACACCTAGAAAGGAATGATCTCATCAACAGCAGCCAACCTGGTTTCAGGGACGGGAAATCCTGTGTCACAAACCTACTGGAGTTGTATGATATGGTGACAGCAGTAAGACAAGAGAGAGAGGGGTGGGTGGATTGCATTTTCTTGGACTGCAAAAAGGCGTTTGACACAGTTCCACACAAGAGATTAGTGCAAAAACTGGAGGACAAAGCAGGGATAACAGGGAAGGCACTACTATGGATCAGGGAATACTTGTCAGGAAGACAGCAGCGAGTCATGGAACGTGGCGAGGTGTCAGAGTGGGCACCTGTGACCAGCGGGGTCCCACAGGGGTCAGTCCTAGGACCAGTGCTGTTTCTGGAATGTGTGAACGACATGACGGAAGGAATAGACTCTGAGGTGTCCCTGTTTGCAGATGACTTGAAGTCGATGAGAAGGATTCATTCGATCGAAGACCAGGCAGAACTACAAAGGGATCTGGACAGGCTGCAGACCTGGTCCAGCAATGGGCTCCTGGAGTTCAATCCCACCAAGTGCAAAGTCATAAAGATTGGGGAAGGGCAAAGAAGACCGCAGACGGAGTACAGTCTAGGGGGCCAGAGACTACAAACCTCACTCAAGGAAAAAGATCTTGGGTGAGTATAACACCAGGCACATCTCCTGAAGCG